CTAATCAAATATTCTACATAATAGTATTCAATCAATATATATTGTATCTGCTGCAACCAAATCAAAATTTTCATTATCAATACTTTTTTATGATTAAAAACTGAAAAATGTTTCATAAACCGTTATCAAGTTATCATGTACGTCAGCGATATACCAACTTTTAGAAGAGTTCCGTTCACCCGTTTTTTATTCAATTAAAAAATAAATTGAGATATTTTTTATGTTATTCAAGAGTATATGTTGAGCTGAATAAATTTTATTTTAATATCTATAATAATTTCTGTGTAAAAAAAATCATGAATATTGGCTTTTCTTCGAGCGCCGATACCAGAATGAAAAAATTGATATTTTTTTTTGGTAAATGGTGAAAATTATAATGGTGAAGCTTCTCTTCGAAAATACAAAAAATTTATCAATAGTAGGAACAGTACTTCTATTCTTATCCTTATTGTAATTTTTTGTTAATTCTAATTTATTCTAATTCTATTGTAATTCTTATTATTTTAATTTAATCTTAATTCTAAATATGTTCCAAAATTGTAATTAGAACATATTTTTTACAGTATCAATAAATATTGCTATTACTTAATAAACTTTGTTAGAATAAAATCAGCTGATCAAAACACAAAGGATTAACGATTAATAATAAATTGATAAGATAATCTGTTTGATAAAAAAAATACATAGCACTACAATAAAAAGATAAGACACTTTATTCAGTCCCGTCACTTCGATCGGCTGGCTCTAGTACAAAAATGAAAATATTTATAAGTATCATCACGACTTTGTTAGTGAACCCGAATTCTATGTCTGTCTCAGGTAAACTCAGTGAATATATTTGAAGGATTAATTAGTTAAATATTTTTAAAGAGTGGAAGAAATAAAAGTGATTTTGAATTGACAGGAGAGGAGATAATACCAGATTCAATAAATCCCGTGTGCTTCCAATTCACGTGGCCAGGCCCTAGATATGACAACACCAGTCAAATTAATATAGATTGTAAGAAACTCAACGAGCCGTGCTTTAAACCGATTGTTGCTACACGTGAGTTACATTTTAAAAAAACAAGTTTACATCGAAAAAATTTTTTTAATCTCCGCTTACATTTTTGAAACTATTCAATTTCTTCAAACCGACTTTAAATCAAAAACAAGTGCGAAGAATTGAAAGTTTAAAGGCGGAAAGTTTATTATTTACAAACAAAAATCCTTGGCCTTTTATTTCCTCTGATGGAGTTGCTTCTTATTTTTGTCTGAAGTGATTTTTGACATAAGGAGTGTGAAATAGTTTTTAGTTTTTGTAAACCAATCATTTTGATGTTAACCAGAACGTTTTGAATTCAACGAATGTTAATTGTTTATATTAAACGTTGTAATAAATAAACAAAATTCTATAAAAATTAGTTCACACATCTACTTAAGTGGAATATCAGGATGTTTAAATAGATGTTTAAACCACTTTTACCTATTTACGGCTTACAACATCGATGCCTTAAGTATAATATCTTATCACATCTGTATACACTTGCGTAAACTTTTGGGCTTACAACAAAAATACTAATTGGTATAAAAAATTACAAATACAATAGATTGATATTTCTTCTTTGTATTAATCACCCTGGTGGTTTATTGACATGACTCCGCTACATGACAACTTCGCTACACTAGAGAGCTGGGTTCAAATCCTA